CCACCTCTACTCAGTGTTCTAGATCCAGTGATGCTGACCCATCCTACAGAGGCTGCTTAGATAAGGCGGCTGTGAGGATTCAATGTTTGACTTTGGGCAGGTCACCTCATATATCACCATTGGTCATATGAGGGACAGGACAATTTCTACTCTCCTATTTCCACTACTGGTGTAAAGAAAAAAATGTATAATGAGCTACAAAAGACAAAGTTTTTATCTATTATAGACTTTTACATTACATATGCTATATTTATATACACTTATATGTTAGAACTTTGAAAAAGTTAGTGTAAGGTAGATGTGAGACTTGTTACGACAATCAAAGATGATCAAAAGGGAGATTGCGGGGCCGGCCCAGTGGCATAGTGGTTGAGTTCGTGCACTCCACTTCGGTGGCCTGGGGTTGGCAGGTTCAGATCCCCGGCATGGATCTATGCACCTCTTATCAAGCCATGCTGTGGTAGGTGTTCCACATATAAAGTAGAGGAAGATGGGCATGGGTGTTAGCTCAAGGCCAATCTTCTTTAGCAAAAAAGGATGACTGGCAACGGATGTTGTTAGCTCAGGGCTAATCTTCCTCACCAAAAAAAAAAAAAAAAGAAAGAGGGAGATTTAACTATGTATAATGTTTAGTCCATCAGTTGTTTGACAAAAAGCAAAAAAAAAATTAGTTGACTTAATTTAAGATTGTGTGTGTGTGTGCATGTGTGTGTGTGTGTTTCTTTCCAATTAGTAATTGTGGCTATTTTGTGGCATAAGGAACAAATCAGGGTTGATTAGTTCTTATGACTTGGTTCTATGGGTCTAATGGTGACTTTCTGGAATTTAGACCTAATAACGTCCTCATGTATACCCGGGAATTGGTTGTTTTCTGAAAATATACACAAGAATTTTCTGGTATTTTGGGGTCTACTGAAAATTGGAAAATAATGAAAATATATTGGAGGGACCAGAGCCCTGGGAGCAGCTGAAAGAAAATAAAAGTTTCTAAAGTACTTAAAAAGACATTGTTTATGAGATGGAAAGTTACTGTGGATTTTTACAGAAGTCTCCTTATTAGAATTCTGCAACATTTTCCTAAGGGATTCTTCCTTTTAAAAAGAGGAGTTAATATCCATATTGTGTTGTAGGCAATCAGAGTTTAAGATATTTGTTTAACACATAAAAATATTCATGGAGGAGTGTTTCCACTCCAGTGAATATTTAAATATGCTCTAAGATATTTGAGGTATTAAGAAAAGATCGAAGAAATATATAAGCATTTGTTATTCTGGAAAGTTAGACAAGGAAAGCAGATGAGGCATAAAGCTTGAAAATATCAAATTTCCAAACATAAGATAGAATGTGTCTTCCATTCCTTCATTTTCACTATAAGAAAGTGGATAAAATAAACATATTCTTCTTCTAGACTTAAAGTTCAAATGACTGTATGAGTCAGACTGTGGTGATGTTCTGTATATCTCGCAAGTCCTAAGTAAATACAAGCAAATGCCTTTGGAAAAAGCATAGCCACAAACTCCTTTTTTCTCCCTCATCTATATAAATTAGGTTCTTTTAAACCAAACCAAACTCTCAGTGGTCACAAACATTATTTTGATTTGATTTTCAAATGACCCCACCAAAAATCCCTAAACCAAAACCAAAATGCCACAAGGAACTTTCTGCCTTCTCCTCCCCAATTCACTCAAAGTAGGATTCTGGAATTAAACCATCTTGGTTATAGTTGTACAGTAACTTAAAAAGTATAAGCTAGTTCTATTTTTGTTATTGAGGTATACTGATGTTCTGGAGCATAGTATATTATTAATATTTAGCTCTTTGGTCCCTAAAGGGAAATATTTTTCTTTAAAAAGTGATGTCATTAATCATATGGAATACAATTTGGCAACATCTATCTATCTATCCATCTATCTATTACAAATGCGTCTACTCTTCTATCCAGAAATTCTATTTTTAGGAATTTATCCTGCAAATATTTCAACAATTTTGCAGAGATTTATGTACAAAAATATTTACTGCAACACTTCTTATAATAGCTAAAGATTGAAAGCAATCCAAGTGCCCATCAATATGGGGCTATTTCATAACTGAGGGCTGGTGAAGACCATGGAAAGCTGAGCAGAAGTTGAAAAGCACAAGGCGTCTCTGTTTGGACTGATAAGGAATACTCAGTGAGATATATGATCAAAAAAGAGCTCGATTTTATAACGGTACATAAAATATAAAATTTGCTTGCTTAAAGCTATAAATGCATATATAGGCACTTATAAAAGCATATAATATCTCTGGAAGGATACATAAGAAATCCCTAATACAGTTTGCCTGTGAGGTAGGATTAAATCAATCAACTAGTGTATAGAGTGAGAAAATACTTACCTTTCACTGAATTTCATTTTATTAGTTTTAAATATGTATTACCTGCATATATTATTTATTAAAATAAATGGACCATATTAAAAGGTAATATGCATCTAAAAAGCATTGTTTATACTGAAAATAACAAAGAAAAGAAACACTGCTAGTGGGGAAAAAAGATAATAAACATGCTAGAGAAAATAAAACCTAGCCAAAGAACACAAATGATTTGAAGCTGCTAGTATTTAGTGCTAATATTTAAAAATATTGCTAAGAAGATTGCAATGTGGTAAATATCTCCACTATTTGCATAAATTTTGTTGTGGCAAACGAATTAAAAAGCCAATACTTAGCAACAATTAGAAAAAAAATTAAAAGTAAAATACGTCAGCTGATTGAATATTTGCAAACCACACATGATGAAATAGGCTTTATTCAAAGTGGGTGGAGTCAAGGAGAACAAAGTTCCTAGAAAGAGGCTAAACTTTTCTTACATGATTCAGAAGCTGTGCCCTGTGTCTTCCTTACCACCTGCATGCCGAAGACCAGGAATAATAAATACAGATCAGGACCCAAAGGAAGGAACAGCAAGATTTATCCAAGAATATTCCTGTAAAGAGGGATTAGGTGGGGTGATAACATCTTTTAATTAGTGAAAGAATGAACTATAATCAAAAATATTCCTTTAAAAGCTTATTTTGCTGGTTGGAAGGGGAAAAACTGCTGTTGACCCTTCTAGAGCTATAAATCCATGAAATATCCAGCCAATTTATCAATTCAGTTAGAATTATATGCTGTTTGTGACTGATTGCTTCTTGTTTATTTTTGTGCTCTAATACTTTCCAAACTTTTGGATCATTTTGATGAGATCAAATATTTGTAAAGTTTGATTGAGTGCAGCAAGACCTTAAAGAAACTAATTCCCTCCAGTCCCACCTCCACACAATGTTACAACTTCAGTTACTGTTGACAGATAATAGCAGGGATGGGCCATCCATTGTAAGGAAAAGAATCACTTTACTTAGACTATTGGAAACAAGTATCTAACTTTTTAGACTTTTAAATCATGAGGTATACCCAATTAGAGAAAACAAGAATTCTTAAATAGCAAATATGTATCATTATATAACTTACATAAGCCTTTGTTGTTGTTGTTATTTATTCTCCTCCTCCAATTCTCTCATCCTTCTCTCCTTCTTTACTCCCAGAATATTTTTATGCTTCTTCAACATATTCATGACACATAACGTTTCTGTAGTATTGTTTTGTGTGTTTTAAATTTTCCAATGGTAGTATAATATTTTGTGAGAACTTATATCCCAGTTTGCCCAGGATAGTCCTGTTTACGCTTATTGTTCTAATGTAAGTATCAATAGCATCTCTTTTATTCTCAAAGTGTTCCAAGTCATCCTGTTCAAACCATTTTACAGCTAGCATTTTTCACTCAACATTTTTTAATATCTGTGTTGTTACCCATAAATCAATAATATAGCAAACTAGCTACATTCTCTATGTTTTACTTATTTTTGGACTTCTCGATCTATCAACCCCTGCCTCTACCTTCTGTCCCAAAAAGATGTGCAAAAATTCCCTCTATGACTGTGAATCTTTTGTTTTCCTTTTCTTTCTGTCAACCTCTCCTTTAATGTATTTTAAAGGTATATCATTAAATGTAAAAGTTCAGAGTTGCTTGACTCTCATGGATTATTCCTATCACGTTTATCAACTTTTTTCTAATAATAAAACAATTAAACATTTTCTTTTCGTTAGTATATGAGTAGTTTATCTTTTCCATCCTTGCATTTGTCTTTAACCTTTTTATGTCATTAACGTTCAGATAACGTCGCTAATAAATTTTATTTTGTAACTTAATTTTGTTTTAACTGGTGAAATCAATCTCTCTACATTTACTATAAGTAGTAATATTTTGCATTTTTTCTACCATATAATATTATGCTTTCTGTATACTGTGCTTTTCCCTTGCTTTTGTAACATGTTTGATCTAGAGACAACCTATACCCCTTCCCTCCTCATGAATAATAATGAGAACATTTAACTCTGATCAACATCTTTCCTCTAACTTATTGCTATCCAAAATTTTAGTTCCACGTTGTTTTTACTCTCCCTCATTAATTACTGTAATTATTAGTGGCTTTTTCATTCTGTGCTGCTTAGGTTTTCTCATATATTCACAAATTTCTTTGCTCATAATTACTTCTTGCAACTCGTTTCTTCATATTGGATTCAATTTCTTGAAGTATATCTTATAGAAGATCCTTCAATATAGCTCTGCTCATGGTCAACTCTCTCATACTTTGCTTGAATATAAGTGTCTTTATAGCTTTTGAGAATTAAGTTCTTTTTAAAATTTTAGGTTGCATTTGTTATACTTCTGCCCATTAGAAATATTACTTGTGGCAGACTATATCTTCCGAAGCTTGACACAAACATATCTCCCATCTAACAAGTTCTTCTATGATATGACATTGTCTCTTTACGTTGAGAGGGGGGATCTCTGCTACCCTCCTCCCCACACGGAATCTGGTAGAGTTGTGACTTCCTTGTAGCCAATAGACTGTAGCAAAAATGAGGCTGCATGACTTCCACTGCAAATTCAAAAAGGATGATGCAGCTTCTACCTTATTCAATGACACAGTCACTTTTGGGCTCTGCATGACCATTAAAGAAGTCTAAGTATCCTGAGGCGACTTGAAGAAATATAGGCCACAAGGAGACACCACGTGCTCTGGCAATAGCCTCAATTGAGGTCCCAGTTAACAGCCCAAATCAGCCGATGCACACAGGAGTGAAGACATCTCTAAATGACTCCGGTCCCCAGCTGTTGAGTAACCTCGGCTGTCTTGTCCCAGCTGAGGATCCAGACATCTTCGAGCAGAAACAAGCCATTTGCTCTGTGCTCAGTCCAAATTCCTAGCCCACAGATTCCGTGAGTACAATAAAAGGGTTGTTTTAATACCCTAAGTTTTATGGTAATTGGTTATGCAACCATAGTAACTGAAACACTAATGAACCATCTTTTCATCTAGTTTTGTTTTTCAAAATCTTTTTAGTCTCATTCCTTTTTATATAATCTGTATCATCACTCTGGCTGCTTTTAGATTTTTCTTTTTCTCTTTGGGAGAGAAAAACCTCTTCAAAGATAAAGATAAGGTGCACCATAGGAGTGAACAAAGAAGTAGACGTAGATACGGCTTGTTTAAATAAAAACAGCACCTTTGTTTCTGGGATGGTAGAACTGCTTCTATCAAATCAAACCTCCTTCTGAAATAGAACAAAGAATCCTAAGGGTTATATGGAACAACAAAAGAACCCGAATAGCCAAAGGAATCCTGAGAAAAAAAGAACAAAGCTGGAGGTATCACACTCCCTGACTTCAAAATATAATACATAGCTGTAGTGATCAAAACAGCATGGTACTGGCACAAAAACAGACACACAGATCAGTGGAACAGAATCAAGAGCCCAGAAATAAATCCACACATCTATGGACAGCTAATCTTTGACAAAGGAGCCAAGAACATATGATGGAGAAAGGAAAGTCTCTTCAATAAATGGAGTTGGGAGAACTGGACAGCCACGTGCAAAAGAATGAATGTAGACCACTATCTTATGCCATACACAAAAACTAACTCAAAATGGATTAAAGACTTGAACATAAGACCTGAAACTATGACACTTCTAGAAGAAAACATAGGCAGTACACTCTTCGACATTGGTCTTAGCAGCATATTTTCAAGTACCGTGTCTGACTGGGTATAGGAAACAATAGAAAAAATAAACAAATGGGACTACATCAAAATAATACGCTTCTGCACAGCAAAGAAAACCATCAACAAAATGAAAAGATAACCTAATAATTGGGAGAAGATATTTGCAAACCGTATATCTGATAAGGGGTTAACATCCAAAAAAAAAAAAAATAAAGAACACCTACATCTCAACAACAGAAAAACTAACAATCCAATTAACAAATGGGCAAAAGATCTGAACAGCCATTTCTCCAAAGAAGATATATAGATGGCCAACAGGCACATAAAGAGATGTTCACTGTCACTAACTAGCAGGGAAGTGCAAATCAAAACTACAATGAGATATCACCTCATGCCCATCAGAATGTCTATAATTAACAAGACAGGGAACAACATGTCTTGGAGAGGATGTGGAGAGAAGGGAACTCTCAAACACTGCTGGTGGGAGTGCAAACTGGTGTAGCCACTATGGAAAACAGTATGGAGATTGCTCAAAAAATTAAGAACAGAACTACCATACAATCCACCTATTCCACTGCTGGGTATTTATCCAAAGAACATGAAAACACGAATGTGTAAAGATATATGCACCACTATGTTCATTGCAGCATTGTTCACAATAGCCAAGACTTGGAAGCAAACTAGGTGCCCAAAAAGGGATGAAGATGTGGTATATATACACAATGGAATACTGCTCAGCCATAAACAAGGATGAAATCTGGCCATTTGTGACAACATGATGGACTAAGCTAAGCGAAATAAGTCGGAGGGAGAAAGTCAAATACCATATGATCTCACTTATAAATAGAGATAACAACAACAACAAACAAACATATAGAAACAGAGATTGGATTGGTGGTTACCAGAGGAGAAGGGGGAGGGTAAAGGGTGAAAGAGATGATTAGGCACATGTGTATGGTGATAGAATGTAATTAGTCTTTGAGTGGTGAACATGATGTAATCTACACAGAAATCGAATATAATGATGTACACCCAAAATTTTTATAATGTTATAAACCAATGTTACTGCAATAAAAAATAAATAAATAAATAAAAACCTCCTTCTGAGAATGACTAGAAAACTGTATAAAATGTTTTAAAAAACAGATTTGACAACATTGGAGAACTATCAAGACAGTAAGAGCTTGCAGCGTCAAGATCCCGGAAAGAAGGGGAGTGCAGAAGTGAGCCCAACAGTCAGGCTACTTTTCTCATCAAGCCTTTTGCTGGTTTGTGAACAGACATGCAGGGTTTGACTTGTTGAGAAGAACTTCAGGTAGTTTAACAGGAATATAAGGGCAAAAACTAAAGTTCATCGCTTCACAAGGAGGAGAGCCCTTCAGAATTCCGGTTGGGAACTAAAGAACCACAACTTGGGATCAGGGCGTAGTAGAAACCACCAAGCCTTTTAATCATAAGGCTTAGCTTAAAACCAGCTCCATACCAGGTTGGATTAAAATTGTCTTTGTCTACTTAGCTACTTGCTAGAATGAAAATAAATAACTCTGGAAGGGTGAACATCATCTAGAGCTTTAAATAATTTCTATAATTTTTCATCACATTATTTGTCATTCAATAAAACACTACTTGGAACATCAGGTGATATGACCAAATTGCCAAAAAAAAGAAAGAAAGAAAAGAAAACTCAGAAAAAAAGTGCAATAGTCTCACAAAAGATGCAGATATTAAAACTAACAGACCACATCTATAAAATAATTATAATTAACATGTTCAAGAAAATAGAAAACAAAATGGAGAATTTAAGCAAAGAATTGACTATATATTAACATATGTTAATATAGTAATATTCAATATATGTTGGATATATATATGTAAACCCTAGAACTAAAAAAATAAATAAATTAAGACTCAATACATGGTTTTTAATGGAGATTAGATCTTGCTATAGAGAAGAATAATAAACTGAGTAGAATAAAGATCAATAAGAAATACCCAGAACCATAATAATTGAAAGAGAAGATAGTTAAAAGTTTTAACATATATATAAATGGTACTTCAGAAGAAGACATAAAAGAAAACTGGGTAGAAACAATACTTGAAGAAGTAATGGCTGAGAATTTTCCAAAAGCCACAGATTTAAGATATATAATAATCTCCACCTAGATAAAAATAGTAATGGCATCTTGGAAGTACAGAAAGAAAAGAAAATTACCACCACCTAGCATTTTATATCTAGCAAAAATATTCTTTCAAAATAACATTGTAGATAACAAAAATGGAGAGAAATAATCACAAAGAAGACTTTCACAAAAAAATAATTAATAAAGGGAATTCTTTAGATTGAAGAAAATAATTCCAGACGGAAACACAGATATGAGAAAGGAAAGAAGAACAGCAGAAAGAACGAACATGTGGACAAATCTAAAATGATGCTGATTGTATAAAGCAATAATAGCGTCCTGAGTGGCTTAAAATAAACACAGAATTATAACATACAACCAGAAGTATAAAAGATGGGGTTTATAAATGGAGTGAAAGTGTTCTAAGGTCCATTCATTTTTCAAGAATTGGTAAAAGTACTTTTTTATATTAGATATTGATAAAAGTAGAATACAGATTGTAATTTTAGGTTAATCATCAATAATAGTTAAAAATCTATAACCAAGAAGGTAATATAAAGGAAAAATGGATCATAAAAATATTTAATAAATCCCCCCAAATTTAAGAAAGGAGAGGAAAAAAAATGTAAAACAAACAAGACAGAGAACAAAGTGTAAGGCAGTATATTTAAATATAAATACACCAATAATTGCATTATATTGAATTACAATTAAATTTAATTATAAGACAAAGAATGTACAATTTAAGTTTTAAAAATTAAAAGACAAATATTTTCAGATTAAAAAAAGTCTTGGGGGCCAGCCCGGTGGTGTAGTTGTTAAGTTCACGTGCTCCACTCCAGCGGCCCAGGGTTCACGGGTTTGGATTCTGGGTGTGGACCTACATACTGCTCATCAATCCATGCTGTGGCAGCATCCCAAATACAAAGTAGAGGAAGATTGGCACAGATGTCAGCTCAGGGCCAATCTTCCGCACCAAAAAAAAAAAAAATCTTGAGCTATAGCACAAGGTAAAACTAAAGAAAACACACATAACTACAAAATATAGACATATGTCAAGTGAACTTGAAGGCAACAAAGCAGCATGAACAAAGCAGGACCTTCATGACGATAGCAGGTAAATTCTCAGGAAGACATGCTGAGTATACATGCACCTAACAAGACAGGCTCTGAATATATAAGGTGGAAATTAAAGGATTACAAAAAAAAAAATAGAAAAACACAATCATAGCAGAAGGTTTTAATATATCTCTCTCAGCAACTGATAGAAGAAGCAAACAAACAATACAAATATTGGATTTAAACACCATTAAGAAACTTGACCAAATTGACGTATAGAGAACATTAAACCTAACAACCAGAGAACACACATTCTATCCAACTGCACATGAACATTTCTCAAAACTGACCATATGTTGAGCAACAATTAAATCTCAACAGTTTTCAAGAGATTGAAATCTTAGAGATTTGATTTCTCATTGTAAGGAAACCAAGCTAGAAATAAATATTTAGATTACTTTTAAGTCCCAAAATCTTTGGAAATTGAAGAATAACTTCTCATTAATCCACAGATAAAATAAGATACAAAAATTTACAAATAGAAAATAGTTTAAATGAAGGATAATGAAAATTAATACATAGAAACTTTGTGAACTGCAGCTAACGCAATCCTAGAGGAGACACATAGTCTTAGAAGCATATATTTTAAAAAAAGAAAAGAACCAATGGAAATCAATGATCTGAATATTTATATTAAAATTTTAGGAAAAAAGCCACAAATTAAACACTAAGAAAGTAGAAGGTA